TAATTTAGTGTTATTCTTAATTTTACTCTGAATCACATTTGATTTTACATTCAAACTCCAATGCAGCCCCATAAAGGGGCTTCCAATTATGGAAGCTGACAAGTTGAGCTGCTGGAACTCTTGCACACTGCTTGTGTACACAGGAAAAACCACGGCAACATCTACAGATGTGAATATCTGCATATCCTACACCCAATCCTCACTTCTGTTTCTTAGGAACACCCAAGAGAACTAATTGTACACGTGTCTACATGTGGATATGCTCATGTGTGTCCGTGCTGCACCAACTACTCATAGGAACAAAAGCCTGGAACCAATGGTGTATTCACCAGCGGGAAATCATCAATGGCAAAAAGGACCATCAGCAGTGGTACGGCGCCACAGCAGAACGCTGCACAGCAAGAAGGCACAGTGTGCAGGCATGCATTTCACAGACATCTCGCCGATGAAGAAGCTACAGTCCCGCCTGTGACATTCAGAACGCCCCCAAGAGCTGTGGTGCCGAAGTCAGGAGAGCTGCACATCAGAGGCAGGAAGCTGGTGACACCAGCAGAGTCTCCGTGAAAAACTCACCAAGGAAATATTTATGATCTGCACATCTTCAATCTCAACAATTCATGTCATAGATTTCAGAAAGCAACAAACAAGTGCTATCTTGCACTGAATAGTCTTTCCCTTATAAACTTGCTATAGAAAAGCCTATTTTGGTAACACGAAGAGAAAAATGACCTATTTTCTCTGAAAGATTATTTTTATCTGTGTTTGCTGGCACCAGCTCACTGCGAGAACAGCCATGTCTGAGCTGGATGCAAATCATCCCAGCCTCTGCTGTCAGAGGAGGCAGCACACGGCACTGGCCTCATTCGGGATCAGATGGTACTCAGTGGGAACCTGGCCTCATCATGCATCAGGACTTCGAGGGCAAAGAGGAGGAGAAGCAGCAAGTGAGACAGCATGAGTGAGGAGCCGGGCTCGACAGCAGCTACCGTTGCCGGGATGTGGCCAGGGGAGACACACGTGCCTCTCTCAGCCGTCTTCTCTGTCCACACACAGAGCCGGACCGCTTCAGAAACACACTGGGTACACTGCTGCTGACAGGAGGCCTTAACAGAACCTAACACCGAGCGGCCACAGTGAACTTCACCTTAAATATTTGTCCCAGAAGTTCTGGATGAAACTTTACCTTCTGGATTTTATTTTTCATTTATCTTATCAGGTGGGGTTGTCTCACTATGTTGTCCACACTGGTATAAACTTCTAGGCTCAAGCTATGCTCCTGCCTCAGCCTCCAGAGCTGGGAGTACTTACAGACATGAACGAAGATGCCTGGATTAGGAAGTGAATTTTACTTAAATGTTTTTGTTTTCTGAGACAGGCTGTAATGATGAGCTCAGGCTGTTCTTGAACTCACTATGTATCTTGACTTCATGGCAATCTGCCTGCCTCAGCCTCCCAAGTGCTGGGATTAGGGTATGTACCACCACTCCTGCTAGGAACTGAATTTCAAACAATTGCTGTTCTTCAAAAATTAATGTGTGATATGTGCACTCCATTAAGCAACTGTATCTTTGATAGCTGAACTATGGTGAAAATCAAAATACATTCAGGTGGGCAGAGAGAGGAACTGAGTAAAGAGTCTTGTACTAAGGAACATGGTAGAAATCTAAGACCATATCTCTCCACACCCGTCACTTAGATCAAGAGGCAGGTCTGATGAAGCTACTAAATTCCACAGGTGCAATTTAACAGGTGTGAATGTGTGGCTAGGCACATTCCTGTAATCCCAGCACTTGGGAGGCTGAGGCAGGGAGACTGCTGTTTCTATGAGGGTACTTATATATGTGAGACAGGGTCTGGGGTCTGCCCAGTCTGGTCTCACTGGTCTTGGACTTGTGAGATCAAGCAATTCTCTCCCTTCGGCCTGTGGAGCAGCTCGGACTCCAGGCATGCACCACAGTACTCTGCTATCAAGAGGGGATTTAGAAATCTGTCCTTTGAGGAAGTCAGACAAACTGACACTGTCACGACACTGTCACGATGAGATCTCCTCAGACTCCCAAGCACCTCTCCATCTTCACTTGCCTCTATAGGCCTTAGCCACAGTATGTGTGTCCCACTCCAACAAGCACAAACTTTGGCTCGGGGAAGCACTTACACATGACTGTAGAATACCAAGTTGTAAAATCCTTATGGGATGATAGCTGCCAGGACAATATGATACATAGCAAGCACCCTCATATATATATATTTTTTTATTTTTTAAAAATTATTATTATTATTATTATTTTTGTACCGGGGATTGAACTTGGGTCTTTGCGCTTGCAAGGCAGGCCACCAAACCGCTGAGCTAAGTCCCCGGCCCTCCACACATATTTTTTAATGGCACTAGCAATTAAAGGCCCTTGTACAGCTACATCCTCAGCACAACCCTTTTTTTAAACTTTGAGAAATGGTCTTAAGTCATTAAGTAGCCCAGGTTGGGCTTGACCTTGTAATACTCCTCTGCCTCAGCCTCCTAAAGTGCTAAGATTACAGGTGTGCACCACCATACTCAGCTAGTCCTACGTTCTAAGAAGGAAATGATGTGGTACGAAAATGATTGGAATTAAGTGCATTTTAGCTAGGCATGGTGGTATAAACCTATAATCTCAGTACTCAAGAGGCTGAACTACACAGCAAGATCCTATCTTAAAAACAAACAAAACGTACATTTTTTTTTAATGTTGCTAGGAATCAAGCTGGAAAAACTAAATTCAACATTCATGACACGTCAAAGAACAATCTGAGTATAGAAAAGAATTAGACTATTGAAAAGAAAAGAGTGTGGTGGCACTTGGTGTACATCTGTAGCCCCAGTTACCCAGGAGGCTGAGGCAGGAATATGCAAGCTTGAGCCCAGCCTTGGCAACATACCCAAGATCCTGTCTTAAAATGAAAATAAAAAGGCTGGAAGACAGGGATTTAGCTCAGTGGTTCTACCGCCTGCCTCACAAGCTCAAGGTCACCGAGTTCAATCTTTGGTACCAAAAAGTCTTGGGTATGTTGCTAAGTGCTTGCCTAGGTATAAGCATCCACTCTGCACGAGGAGGATAATGTTCATAATAGATCAAAACATACAAAAGTAATCTAATTTCTTAATAAGGAAAACAAACAGAAAACAAAAACTGGACAGCAAGTTGGGTGTGGTGGCACACACCTGTAATCCCAGCACTAGGGAACAAAGTCAGCATGAACTACATAGTCTAGAACCCATCTCAAAAAACCAAACCAAGGGCCAGGGATTTAGCTCAGTGGTGCCATGCCTGCCTGCAAGGTCCTGAGTTTGATCCTAGGACTGCAAACAACAACAAAACCACCAAAAAAAAACCACAAAACAACAACAACAACAATAACAACAACAACAAACCTGGGGAGTAGCAATACATTATAGAGGTAACTGAAAAAGAAACGAGTGTTTACCCAGCCTTTCTTTAGATTTTCAAGATTATAATAGGATTGGTCCAGGGATTTAGCTCAGTGGCACTGCAGCAAGCACAAGGTCCTGAGTTTGATCCCCGGTACTTGAGGGGGGGGGATTATAATAGGATTGAGAAGGTCTCACTATGTAGTTTAGGCTGGCCTTAAACTCATGGTAATCCTCCTGCCTCAGCCTTCCAAGTGCTGGGACTATAAGTATGCGCCACCACACCTAGCCTGTTTTTTTGTTTTTTGGTACCGGGGATCAGACTCCGGTCCTTGCACTTGTGAGGCAGGTGGCAGAACAACTGACCTAAATCTCTGGCCCCTGTTTTTCACTTTTAAATGAAACAATCACTTAAATGATGTAAGAATCATTTAAATACAAGAAATCATAAACACAGACATCTCACTATTCACAAAATTCAATGAAATAACTGCTCCACGGAGGGATTTTCAAGGATAGGCACACCCAGGGTAAATCTGTTTTCTTGTGTAATGGATGGGTCAGACTGATCACAGAACCACTGCCCAATCTTCCTGTCCCAAAAGGAGGCAGCTGTCCCTGTGAGAGCATCTGCCCTCAAAGTGTGGTCATGACCTGAGAAATCCCCCATGACTGGACACGCCTAGGAGGAAGGGGAGAGGGAGGACAGTGATGATTATCATGTACTCTGAATGTACGTTCATGCGTGGCCATGGTGTGGAAAATCCAGGATTCTTCAACACAGAAGTGGGATTAAAAGAGGGAGATGAACATTAAGAGACTTAAGAGAAACAAGTCTAGCATGTGGATCTTACCTGAATACCAAACCAACTCAAAGTATTCAAAGAGTTTTAATGATATTAGGAACTGTGGTTACTTCTGTAAACTATGCTTATAGGTACATTAAAGAACAAGATTTTACTGGATAAAATTTACTGGATAGAACCAGGGATTTGGCTCAGTGGTTCTGCCACCTGCCTCGCAAGCTCAAGGTCATGAGCTTGAGCCCCGCTACAATAAACATTTTTTTTTACTGGATAAATTTTACTTCTGAGATGTATTTCTCTCCCCAAAGTGAGGGGGACAGGTGAAAACATACAATAACAATGCTGAGAACCAGTGATGTAGCTCGATGGTAGAGCCCTGGCCTACCATGGCCAGAGTCCGAGGCTCCACCATTAGCACCACAGGAAAAGAAAAAGAGACGTGGCAGGGCGGAGCTCTCATTATGAAGCTCTGTGACGTTACAGGGATTGTTATATTCTGCTCTCTGCTTCTGTCTTTAGTTGAAGATTTCTGTAACAAAGTTAAAAACAGCAGAGAGACGATGACTGTTTAATCTGGATCACAAGAGTTCCCTATAGGGAACCACAGTGCTGTTCATTCAGAGGCTGACTGACCCGAGGAGGGAGTGTCCTTTAAGAGAGCTGTAGAGAAGGAACATGGAGGCTTCCCAAGTTGTTAGACCCAAGCCGCTCACCTGATCTCCTAGACGAGAGAGTGACAGACACAGAGCTGCCACCTGTGGCATGTGCTGTGACGGCTACAGTCCTCTTACCTGGCTGGGGTGGGTGAGGTGGTGGCATCTGGTGGTGCATCAGTGGGTAGGGAGGGGGCTGCTGATGGGGCATCATGCCTGGGTGCCCAGCGGTTCCAAGAGGGGCCAGGCCAGGGCCCCCCGCATGATGTGCCTGTGCAGGGTTCTGGCCATGCTGCTGTTGCTCCATTTGCTGTCGGGCACGTAACTCAGCGTATTTTAGCTGCTCCATGTGGAAGTTCTGTCGTTCTGTAAGCAACTGCTGCCTCTGCTGTTCTAACTGTGAGCAAAAAAGACACATGACACAAGGAGAAATCTGAGGACTGGATGACACAGGACAGACACCCACCAGCACCAAGCTCCCTGCATTTTCCCAGAGACACGGCCATCTGGCCTCCTGCAACATCTACAAAGAGCAAACTGGCATTTGTCCTTTCTCACTACATAGCCCAGGCTGCCTCAGAATCTTGAATAACCCTCTGGCCTCAGCCTCCAGAGTGCTGGGATTGCAGGTGTGTGGCACCACGCCCAGCAAGGCATTATTGCTTGAGTAGTGTATTGTACTTGGACACCTGTTACTGCTACTGGGGTCCTGGCCTGTGTTAAATTCAAGACCTGTATTTCCTATCGAAGCTATTGCTCTCTGACCCACTGTGCGTGTGTGTGAGAGTGAGAGAGCGAGCGAGCACGCGCGTGAGAGAGACAGAGATCTCTGTCAGGTGGGCCTTTAGAATTTTAAATGTTTTCTTTATTCATTTATTTATTTTCAAGGCAGGGTCTTGACACAGCCCAGGCTGGCCTGGACTCCTGGGTTCAAATGGTCTTGTTTTGGCCTTCCTCGCAGCTGGGACTTCACACAGTCTGTAAAAACATTTTCTACGACTCCCTGCAATTTGCCCTGGTAAACCAGACTCCTATCCTTTTACTGCTTTCTCAGATACTACCAAGTCCACCCGACATTCCAAGGTACTCTCTTCTGAACACAGTCCTTTTGATTATCACCGATCTTAGACTGCAACAGCAGAGTACAATCCTGAGCTGACATGGCTTAGCTGTAAAGACACATTTATCCATGCAGGACGTTACCACTGTAAGTATGCACAATTATAACAGGTGACAATTTCACAGAGTATTTTAGTTACCTAAATAAAAACGTGCTATATTTTGAAGTATTTTAAGTATTTCAATATTATAATAAATCTGAGACTTAAACGAGAAGTAACTTATATGTATAGGAAATTCAGAAACCATACTCCTAATAACAGTTAAGCCAATGGAGCTCACTCTAAATTAATTAAACACAAGGATGACAAAGAAAACCTACTTCAACATACAGGGAAAGGAAAACCCAGATCTTTGAAATAAGCACAAGGAAGTCAGCAGGTCTATTTCTTTACGGTAACATCCTCTTCCCTCATTTCCATGGTGAGGGGTTCTTTCCTTGTGCTGTGTGGTCCCATGCTGCAGTCACCACCAGCATACCAAATGAGGTATGCCGTTAATATACAGGACACCCCCAAATTAAAAAAAAAACACACACACAACTTTTGCCTATATAGAGTTAACCTATTTTGCTTGTTTTTATATTTTTAAATATGGCTGCTAGAAACATTTTAATTACACGTGTGGCTCACATATTATTTCTGTTGAACAGCACTATTCCTATGCATTTATTAGGTCGGGGAAAGGTTAACATTTTAGCCTTAGGGAGCAGTCAGTTCTGTGGATAAATACTACATGCTATAATTAGCCAAATGAGATAGAATAAGCCTGAGAATTAGCCTAAAACTCTGGGCTCTAAGCAGAGAGCAGCCTGGAAAGAAGTCACTGGAGAGCCAAGGGAAAAGCAATGCCACTCAGCAAGCACAGCAGGCAGGGAAGTCCTGGGACAGACGGGTGCGTCGCAGCATGGAGACAACCAGCACAGGTGTAAGGGAGGCAATGGTGGTGACAGGTCAAAGCACAGGCCTGAGGTTTTGGTTAGCTGGCTCACAGAGGGAGGCAGGGTTCCCCTCCAGTCCCCAAATGCCCTTTAGGTGTGGGTGCTTCATTTTCTAGCAAGGGCGAAAGGAGGAGGGGAGTCTGGCCACGTTTAATTTGTTTTGTGTGAGAAGGGAGGTGTAAGATGTAAACAACAAGCATATAAATAACAATTCTCCAGAGGGCCAGTTCTGCAGGAAGACTCATCAGTGAGATGTTTGAGAGGCAATGATTTATAAAGGTTATCTAAAGGTTCTGACTATAGACTCTTGATTTCGCTTTCTTAAAATCACTCTTTCTAGGAAATTTAAAACTGTACAATAATTTCCTGAGGTTAGGCTTAAGAGGCTGCCAAAAATGGACCTTTTATCTATGTTCTGGTTGAGTCATTACTAGCCTAGACAGCTTGGCTGAAATTGTGCAGTTATGTAAGAATTACGGAAGTGAGGTCAAGATTTGCCTCTCAAAGCAGGTGAGTTGCTACTAAAGATAATTTCTTTTCTATTTGCTCTGTAGCCCAGGCTGGTCTCAAATTGTGGCAATCCTCCTGTCTCAGCCACCCGAGTGCTGGGATTACAGGTGTGCTCCACCATGCAGAGAGGTTTCTTACTCCCAAGCCAGCATTTATTTGGAGGCTAACCTCATCATCCAGGCAAACCTTGCAAAGAATAGGATCCATTATCAAGAGGATGGGAGAACAGATGGGTGTAGTGGTGCAGGTCTGTAATCCCAGCATTTGGGAGGTTGAAGCAAGAGAATCGGAAGTTTGAGACCAGCCTTGGTCACGTAGCACAACCAGGGGGAGGGGGAGAGGATTGGAAGAAAACTTGTCCAATTTTGCAATGTACAATATGAATGAACCTCAATTATCCTATTCATTTCTGAACTTCACCTGTGATTTTAAAAAATTATAAGAAAGTAGTTAGACTTATAAAAGGGTTTAACACACATACTTATACCCGAGAGAGAACCTGTTTATGGTAGAGCTTCCATACAGGCCCACAAGTCCCCTGAGGTGAGGGCAACCTGCAGGCTCCAGGAGGCCCTCTGCACCGGAGCTGATGCACTGAGCTCCTATCTGCCCTGAAGCCAGCTGAGGTCGCAGCTGTCAGAATACGAAGGAAGGTTACTGAGCAAAATCTGGTAGCACTTTGTGTATTTCAAATACACTCAGGAGCTGACCCTGCGAACTGACATCAGAAAGTCTGTCCCAGACACTATGTATCAGCGTGCATAAGACAGCCACCAAGGCACTGCCTTTGGGATATCACAGACGCACTGAGCAGGAGAGGAAAGCAAGCTGCAAAGGAAATACAGCCTCCAATACATAAAAAATGTTGTGATCACATATAAACACACCTATACACACTGAAAATGTTTTGGAAGACACCACACTAATAGAGATCATCCCTAGGAATCAAACTGAGGGCAAGAAGGACCTTCTAATTTATTGTCTGGAACAAACTTTTTCCTGCAGTATTAGGGACGGACTCCAGAGCCTCACACATACAAGTTAAGCACTTGACCACTGAGCTACCGCACAGGTTCTTTTTTTTTTTTGAGACAGGGCCTTGCTAAGTCACTCAGTTTAGTTCAAACTTGTGATTTTCTGCCTCAGCTTTCAGAGTAGCTGGGAACACAGTGTGTACAATTGCACTTGGCTTACTATCTGAAATTTTAACAAATCACACCTATTTTTGCAATAAAAAAATACTAAAAACTCAACTTATTCCTTACAGATATCTTGATTTTACTGTCTTCTCCATTTCCCAGGACTATGGACAGTCTCAAAAGCTAAAATGCACAGTATAAATGACTCATGTAAATAGGTTATCAAACCCATTAACCTTTGCGACTCCTCTCTGTCTCTAGGAATCCAGTTCTGCAGCAGGACTCCTGTAGCCCTGCTCTGAACCCCATTCACCCCTGTAGCATTCAAACCCTGTCCCCCAACACTGTGCGTGGACAAAGCAGCTGCACCCAAAGCAGAACACACAGAGCACTTTTCAACATCTAGTCACTAAGTGCAGACACAGCTGCAAATGCAGCTGAAGTTCACACAAAGCACATCTCCCAACCTTCATTTGCATAAAGCAGGAGGGGCAGGAAAGAGGAAAAGACAGAGGGACACAAAAATCCATCAACATGGCCAAGGACTGGAATACCTGCTGAGACGCAATGTCCCTGACGGCTTGGCCTCAGAATGAAAGTACCAATCATGGTGTCAGGGATGGACACATTCACTAAGAAAAAACCAAGACTCACTACACCTGAGAAAAGGAAACCAAGTGCAAGGTGCAACTTTGACACCGCTTCATAAGAATTTTTATTCTTAATTACTAAATACAGTGGACCCTTGACTTATGAACTCAACTGGTTCCCAAAGGCTGGTTGTAACTCATATTTGTTGTACATCAATGCAACCAAGATCTGGATGTTTACCTGGGTACATGCCACAGATCACACGAGGCAGATGAATCTTCCTTTAACCTAATTAACCCAAGTTGTTCATGTCAGGGTGGCCCTAACTTGAGGGTCCACTCTACTTAAGCATAAAGAGAACATCCGAGTTTAAGCGGTTAGATAACAAAAGAAACATCATATCTGATTCTGGAAATCTAGTAAGAGAACCAAATGTTTAATTTAAATATGGTTGCCCTAAAGCTCCATATTGCCTGCTGGGTAAAAACTGGTAAAAAAGTGAAGCAGGAGCTGAGTATGGTGGCACACGCTTGTAATCCCAGCACTTAGGAGGCTGAGGCAGGTGGAGTGCTATGAGTTCGAGGCCAGCCTGGGCTCAGGAGAATTAGGTGGTGAGCTCGGTGGCCAGATAGCCCACCATATTCACACAACTATCTGACAGAATCACAAGAGAAAGATGACGGACCTTTGCATGGCCCTGGGCTAAAAATGAGAACAGTAGCTAGATATTGTGCTAATAAATACAGAGAGCCGCACAAAGGTTTGTTTGTGAGCTGGCTGTGTCACTCTACCCGTGTGATGGGAGGGTCAGACCCTATCCACCCAAGCTTCAGTAGCATCAGCAAGGAGCACAAAGAAAGGAATGGCCTGTTTTCACCCAGCGTCACTGCTAGATTTTTGTAGAAGAACATTCAAAGCCATCAGTAATTTCTTGCTTATGGTTTCCTCACGCAATTTTTGGAGACTAAATATGGAAATCTATAAAAATGCTTTCATATAGTGAGTGACCTAATATATGTTCACAAAGCCAAAGGCAGCTTACAAATATGAAACGTCTCACGTGCAGCTGTTGAACACCGGCTTGTACCCACAGTTACTGAACGCTGCTGCGGTGCCAGAACGCACCAGGTGCATGCTGCGCTTCTCTCACTTCATCCTCACAACAGTGGGTGTGGAAGTCCTGGGGGAAACAGTCGTGGCTTTCTTGCTCTAGGACAGCGTACTCCTGCTACAGAGCAGGCTACGTCTTACTTGGGCATGAAATGAATGGGTGACATTTTGAAGTTCAAAGGGTCACCTGGTGGCTGAGATGGTGAGTCTTTAAGCCAGTCTCCAACAATAACACTTGCTGGTATGGACCCACCCTTGCTGAGCCCTGCCTCCTCTCCAGAACCCAGCCTGCTCCGTGTGACTGAGATGACACAACAGCAAGTTCAGGTGACAAGAGCCATTGCGGCTTTCCTTTTGGGTGCCTTTTCACTCTCCTGCTCTTTGAATCATCTACTCAGAAACCATGTGGTAACAGATGCCTTCTGTTCTCAGTCACTGGGGTAACTTTTACAAACAAATAAGTAATTAATACAGTTGAGCTGCTGTTGATTAGGCAGGGCTAGGGGCTGTCCTGTACAAAGAACTTTTCTGCCATAACTGAAGCCCATACTAAATGCTGAAGAAAAGGCTAACTACCAAAGAATTCAAGCAGAGTAGCCTTGTATGGTGGGTACGTGGCATTTTCCCACTTTCAGTTGAGGTTATTTATTCAGAAACTATCTTGTAAAATATTTTGCATGTGCTGGTTAGAATTAGCCTAATTAAAAAAAAAAAAAAAAAAAAGAGAGAGAGACAAGGCCAGTTTTGGGAATGCTTATCTACACTCCCAGTTACCCAGAAAGGTAAGCTGTAAAGTCACTTGATGCCAGGGGTGTTTCATTTTGGAGAGACAGTCTTACCATGAAGTCCAGACTGGTCTTAAATTCACTACATAGTCCAGTCTGGCCTGGAACTCATAATCTTCCTGTTTCAGTCTCCCAAGTAGTGGGATTAAAGCCGGGGAGTTTGGGGCTGCAACGCCCAATGCATATCCAATTGGTCTCCAGATTAAGTGAAAATGGACTATGGTGAGTTACTGGACTGTTCTAGGAAAAGCAGGCCACAGGACTGGGTCGGATGGGGCACCATAAAACAGCGGAATAACGCAGTCATCTTAAAACAGCTGCTCTTATGGGATGATTTAGAAGAACCTAACAAGATTTCTTAGTCTTCTAACTCACAGCTCACCCTACCCCTAGAGAGGTCCCATGAGTAGAGAGTACCACCTGAGTCCAGGTTTCTTTTTCAGTGGCAGATATTCAATAATGTAAGGAAAGGTTAGGCTGATTTTCAAAGGATCTGGATAGGTTTTGCATGTGGGTTCCAAATTTTGACCCTTATTTTTGATCTGTTGTGGCAAGATGTCTAATTTGTCTTGGTCACTTGCTGTGCCCCAGACCCCTATGATCTAACTGCTGGACACAGCCTTTACTGTATCCAACAACTGGGATCTAGATGAGGATAAAAGGAGACGGACTGAGCGGGGGGGAGGCAAAATGATGGCTGTCATAACTGGCAATACTGTAAACATATCCAAGTAGTTCAAAGGAAAGCCCAAGGCAAATCAGGCAAATCGTTCTTGCTTTGAACACAAGGAAATGACACTGGGGATACAAGTACACCAAGCCACTGACTGGACCCTGCTGTGTCAGGCAGCCAACGTGCCTGACTTGTGGCATGGAAGCGCTGACCGTCCCTGCTCCTGGAGAGGGGAGAACCCTCACCTCCTGCTCTGCAGCAATCTGCAACACCCCTGTCCACAGATATCTCCATGTCCTGTAAAGAACCCTGGGTGATACTGGTTGTCACAGATAAAGCCAGCCCCACCTGAACTGCCTGAGGGAAAAAAGAGTACCAAAAAGAAGAAAACTATTTCTGTGAACTTGTGGAAGACATGGGGCTCCTATTCAAAATACATGACTCCAGTATTGCTCCAGGTTTTTTGTTCTTGTTTTTAAACTTTTTTCAACGTAGCCAGTGAGCTACAACATCACAAAGTTGTTAGATAACATAATCCCCCATACGTAAGGCCTACAGCTCCTTTCAGCCGAAGGCAGGTAAATGACGACAGAGGCTCCCACATTCTCAGCAGCCCAGAAAGCATTATGGGGATTTATGTTTCTCAGGGGGGAAATGAGGCAGGAGATTAGGGCGTGGCCAGCTGGCTGTGCAAGTGGGTGTGGCCTGCCAATCATGGAGATCTAGGACAAACCCAGTATCTGCTACCAAATCAAAGTACTACCTTCAATTCCTTGGCCTAGCCTTAAGTCAAGTGGGTTTCTGATAGGCTGACCTAGACCTGATGTCAGAATGGGGGATGAAAAAGATGGCAGTCATTGGCCTCGGGGCCATTGCAAGCTCCTTCAGTGGCCTGCTCTTTCCCTGCAGAGTATACTTCTTTTCCTACTTTAATTGGCCAGCACTCACTCTACAGAGCATTTCTTTTCTCACCTTTAATAAAATGTAAAACCTTGCTACCTTAAAAAAATAATAAATAGTTCCTTTTCTTTATAATCACTGGGTGATAATCCTTTGGAAAAGACAAGTCAGACAAAATAACAAAAGAGCTACAAAGACCCATGGAGTAGGCCACCATTTTGATTACCTAACTTGCCTTTCTGAAAGTGGCCATGGTTTAACTCTTAAAACAACAAAGTGGGATCCCCCTTACTTACAGCCTCTTTCTCTCTGTCCATGATAGTTTCAAGCTCCTCAAAGTGTCGAAGTTTGATCTCCAGTTTCTTCATTTGTGTCTCAACCAGCAGAGCTACCAGAGACTTGATCTTTCTCTCTTCCACAGCAGCCAGGTGCTAAGGGCGAAGGAAAATTCAAATTATTTAGGTAAATAATTGCTAATTCCTATTCAAAATGGAACTTATTAAGTCAAAATATACCTCAGATGCCCACTTTGTATGTTTCTATCAAACATTTCAGTTTAAAAAATGCCACCGCCCCTGAATTTCTGGTGATAACCGAACCTTTTCAGAGGACTGCAGGAAATCCTCCCACAGTAAACTCCTGTTAGGAACCTGAGGGAAGGCAGGTGAGCTAGGACTCTGCTGGGCCAAGAGGCGGACCAGGTAGCCACACCCTCACCTCCCACCCTTTATCATCCTTCACTCCCCTCCAACTTCCCCAACGCCCAGATGACACCCAGATCCAAGGCCTCTCTCTACTCTGTGGTGATCAGACTGAGTGTGAGAAGGACTAAACACAGCCTTACCCAGAGCTTGAGGAAGAGGCCCAGACCCACAAAAGTGAACACAGGAAAGCTGCCCTGCTCTTGCACAAGCCTGATGGTGAGTCCTACACAGGCCTTGTGTCTATCAAGCAGGACAAAGAAGGTGGCGTCACACTGTCTGTAAGTGGCCAGGGCCCTGATTACTTGCAAAGGTCAGTTTTGTGTGCTACAGACCCCACCTGGACCTTTCCAACCACTTCCAAAACCATTTTCACTGCCCTTCAGAACTTATGTGCCCCTCTGCTTGTACAAGCTATATAACAAACAGCACGGAGTGGTTACCATAATTACTGACCTATCACGTAGGAAGCATTTAATAGGAGCTTTTGGGAGCTAAACTAAGTTAAAACACTTATATGAGAACCTCACTTTTCTTTTTTTTAACAGTTCAAAGGGGGGAAATAAGAGTTTTATTTCACGTTATGATGACCCGTCTGGATGAAGATTCAGAAATGTAAACAGAAGGGAATGATGAGAAGGTTTCACAGCATTTATAATCAATCATGTTTGCTTCCCTAAACTACCATGAGCAATCTCAAGGACACCAAAAGTTTAAATAAATATCACATAATTATAAGCCTGTTAGGAGTATACTATAATAAAATTTATATTTTCTTTTCTTTTTTGGTACTGGGGATTGAACTTGGGTCCTTGTGCTTGCAAGGCAGGCAGCGGAACCACTGAGCAAAATCCCTGGCGCTAAAATTTATATTTTCAAATAATAAACATTCATGACACAAAACTGAAATGCTACAAAAAAAGGGTTCAAGTACAGAGAAAGTCATCTCATTTCTGCCAGCCAGCCTCAAGTAAACTTTTTTTTTTTTTTTTTTGGTACTGGGACTGAACTTGGGCCCTTGTGCTTGCGAGGCAGGTGGCAAAACCACTGAGCCAAATACCCCACCCACCAGTAACCTTTCCTTTGAGAGGAATAACACTAATTTGCAGGTAATTTTTATGAAAATTTGATCCCTTGAAACTTGATGGTACTGGAAAAAAATGTCTTTTCCTGGGATTTATGTAAGAATATGGAGCTATCCCCATGTATTACTAAATAATAAATCCCAAAATATGTGCTCTCAAAACATTAGATCACTGACAGGCACAGCGACACAACACTATAATCCCAGCACACAGGAAGCTGAAGCAGGACGATCATCATGGGTTTGAAGCTATCCTGGACTACACAGTGAGTTCAAGGCCATCCTGAACTACATAGTGAGAACCTGTCTCTAAAAACAATTTCAAAAAGTTTTCAAATTGAAAGGGTCATCAATGGAAATTTAAGAACACAAGACAAAGAAAAAAAATTCTATAAACTTCCAAACAGGCAATAAACGACAAAAAAGACAGGATACAAAAAATTTTGGACTGTATGAGATTCTTAAAAGCTAAACTAGGTTTTTTAGGACAATGGTAAAATGCTTTCCCATATCTGAGGGATAATGAATTTAAAAACAAAATTTCATAAGCTGGGCATGGTGGCGCACGCCTGTAATCCTAGCACTCGGGAGGCTGAGGCAGGAAGATCACTGTGAGTTCGAGACCAGCCTGGACTACATAGTGAGTTCCAGGTCAGTCTTAACTACATAGTGAGATCCTGTCTCAAAAAACAAAAAACAAACAAATAAACAAACAAAATTTCATGCAACTTAAATCAATTCAGAGTACAGAATAAAACATTGTCTGAAATAAAGGATTCCAAAAGTTTATGTTCTATACATGCTACTGCAGGATGTTCTAGTTCCTGTCCAGAAAACCAGAGACCATGAGGTCTAAAAAGTCACAGACTCAAGCTAAGAATGGACCTGTGAGCTCACAGAGGGTTCACAGCAGCAGGTCAAATGCAAACCAACACAGAACAAGACAGGTAAGAGGCTGATAACCAAAGCTGGGTGACAGGTACATAGATTCATTATTCTCTTCTGCCTATTTTTCACTATACAACAGCACTTCTATAAAGGATTTTAAAGGTGAGTTGGGATGGGTCAGCAAATGGTACCAGGACAACAGGACATCCAAGTACAAAAGAATGAATTCATATCCACATCTCACATAATAGACAAAAGTGAACTCAGTGGATCACAGATCCAAATTTAACACCTTACAACGGCTGGGCATGGTGATGCATGCCTGTAATCCAGCACTTGGGAGGCTGAAGCAGGAGAATCACCACAAATTTGAGGCCAACCTGAACTACAAAGTGAGACCCTGTCTTAAAATAAACAAGCGGGGTAGGGAGAGAAAAGACCTACCACTGAATTTATCCCTGATATTGGAAAGGAAAAACAAAGTCAAAATAAAACCTGAAGTCCTTGAGAAATTATGTGGAAATCATACAGGTGAGAGACTTGAATCCCAAACATATAAGGGTGTCTTACAATTCCTGTCGAAACTGACGGAAACCTGAAGGATTATAAACGTAAAGCTAGGAACCACCTCAGGACATCTGGTAAATTTTTAAGATGCACAGGGTAGGAGGTTAAGGAGGTAGTTTTAAGGAAGAACAGAAATTTCTGCAAACTCTGGGTTGTGACAATAAAGATTATCAAGCTCTCTCAATCCAAAGAGCTAGAAAGTTATGCCAGCAGAAGCGGGGTGCTCCAGGTGGAGGAGGCTGACCAAATCTGCCACCCAGTTATCTTCATTCATTATCCAGTTCTCCATTCCCTTCACCCCACAAGGGAAAGCTCAACCACGCTCCTTCACCTGGAGCATCAATATTTTATTATGAATCTGGCAATCAATAAAAACACATGCCCTAGATAGCACAAACACTGGACTTAGCCACAACGAATTTAAGAGAAAACCAGAAGCCAGCATAAAAGATAAAATTTACAATTGGAATCACAGAAGGACAGCACAGAAGATGACAATGGAAGGGTAATATATTCCAAAACAGAGAAACATCAGCTGGGAGTTCAACTTCAAAGAGGAGGGTAAAAAACAATAAAACAAAAAAGCAAAAAACCCCAGCTAAAACCACACTAATGTACAACATGGAGTAATAAAACAGAGACAGTAAGAGCGAGGAAGAGCGATGTCATTATTAATGAAGAGCGATGTCACTATTAATGACCGTATTCTGAAAGAAAATTAACTTCCTATATACATTTCATTCTCTTCCCACTAAAACACCCTCCCAAAAATAAAGGTGAAGTCAAGACCTTTCAAGAGAAACAAAATCTTGACCAGTTTTCCCCATCAAATGCTCCTCTTAATAATAGAGTTTAGATTCTAGTGAAGGAAAACACTGCCCGAAGCATGGAAAAAACTATAAAGCAAATTCCCAGATAAGAAAGCTTGTTCCAATGGAACGGAGAAAAGAACTGAGGCGCACAGGGCAGGGGAAAGTGATCTAAGTTTCCTGCATAATTTAGATAGTAAAAATAATTTGGATTAAGCTGAAATAATTTAAGAATGTATTAGCAAGAACACTGAAAGAATAAGAAAGTTATCTAATAAGATCACAACAGAAAAGAATAAAAAATGATGCTAGGGCCTGCAGCATATGCAGTTCAAATGGCACAGTGTATATATGAGAAGCCTCTGGGTTCAATCCTCACACCAAAAATTAATGACAAACTGGATTAATGAAGACTCTACTATTGAAAGCACAGGGAATGGACAAAAGCACACAGGACTGTTCTCTACTATTTTTGCAAATCACATAAACCCATAGTTTACTTCAAAACAAAAGTATAAATTTTAAAAACTGTCTAACTACCATGGAGTAGGTAAGAAGGAGCATCCTGGTTTGAAGACTAAGGTGTAAAGTGCAAGGGGTTTGATAACTGGCTGTTCACACACAAGTTCGTTTACTACCTCATACACTAATGGATTTACCTGATTCTGCAGAACAATGAAAGCCAACTGTAGCTAAGTTGAAAGGGTCTTTATTTTACATGTACTCACTCTCCTGGTCTTCTTTACACCATATACTCCCTGGCCGCAAAGCACAGAGGCTCACAGGTGAGGCCAGACTACTCACCTGGTGTAAACCCAAGTCTGGTTTGGAAAGGAAGCTGGCGCCTGTCTCCTCACCTATGAAGGGGAGAAATGGTCCCCACCCCAGGCTGTGCTGAGGACGCACAAAGCATCCCCGTTATGAGGGGAGAGGGGAGAAACGGTCCCCACCCCAGGCTGTGCTGAGGACACACAAAGCATCCCCGTTAGCGCCTGCACACAACAAGTGCCCAGCACCTGCTGCCCTTGGAGCCCTGCTGCCAGTGGACTGCTCTGGGCACTGGTCACCCTGACTCGGCGGTGCACTCCCTCTGCTGGTTCCAGCTCCATGGTCCTCACACCTCCAGCGCAGGGCATCTCTTTCCCAGACTCACCCTTCCACTGCCAGGCCCAGGAAGAAGGATGGCATGAGGTGGGGAGTACAAACGACACAAGAGGAGGCAGCCTGCTGCAGAGCCTAGGGTTCACCAGTGCCAAACGCTAGCGCCAGCAGTGAAGTGGTAAAGGCAGGGCTTCAGAGAGGAGGACAAGATGGCCAGCAGACTGTGGCCTTCTGACTGAGAAGGAAACTGGAGTGAGAAATTCAAGAAAAGACAAAACATAGTAAAACTGATTCTCTAAAGTATAAGGCCTGGGGCTGGAGATGTGGTCCAGAGGTAGAGCATAAACTGTAGGGCAGTTTGCGTATGGTAAGGATTTGTCTGCCCAGCTGGTATCACTACTCTGCAGTTTCTAGAAATTCTCCCTCCCAATCACCTGTGCACTACATCACCTCCAAGCGTTCTCCCCTCAATTTCTTCACATCATCATTACTGCACTCAGAAATCTAGACCCATCCAAATAAATACAATTTTAGGCCTAAATAAGAACTAAGAATGAATATATAGCAGTGGCTTCTGTCCTATGGAAAGTATATATGAAACATAGAAATCCTACAGCATTTTCAATTATACCACTTGAAATAAGGTGTAGAGAATATAAACTGAAAAAAAGAGCAACAAGTAGCAAATAGCCAAGAAAGCCACACATACCTGGCAAGATTTACAAACTGCTATGAATCACGACTGTTATGTGCCTTGCATTCGAACCCTTCATGAATGGGAGTGTAGTTACCCTTCCTGAGATTCATCACTGTCATGTAGTCCCCAGATCTGAAACCAGTGACCAACGTCCTTCAATGTTTCTCATAAATAACCACTCCTAAGGAACCTCATGTGGACCTCCAGCCTCTGCTTGACGCAACAGGCCATCAGGGGCCTCTGGGACATTTATTTTGCAAGCAAGATAAAGGGACATAGTTTGTGATAAGATAGCTTGTGCTGGCAAACCTTCTGTCTAGGTGTACTCCACGTCCCTTACCTATAAAGACATGACTCAAATGTACAGTGACAATTTTCCCAACCTAAGAAGGAGGTTCAGACATAAAGGAGCAAACTGTGATACATTTCTATGTTCTGGTCTAGAGCTAACGCCCAGTTCCTATGAATGTAAACCTAGTTTGTTACGTTGGGGTGTGTGGAAGAGCATGGGGAAATCTGTGAATGAATCTGAAGGAAACGTCTGGCTTAAGAAATGTGATCTCTGTTTTCCTGGAAGAACTGACTCTTCCTGTTGAACAGAAGAGAAGATGTTCTAGGGCTTCTTTACTGCAGCGAGAGTTCCGGGGCCTTCCTTCCCTCCAAGGCTGAACACCCAGATGGGAGGAACCAGAGCACCTGGCACCCTTCCTTCCTCTGGGTGCAACACAAAACTGAACACACTCTTCAAGGGCCTCTCCCATGGCAAGGATGGGAGAAGCAGAGAGAACACCAGTTATCTGTGCAGGAGCAAGATCCAGAGCCTCTAATTACCATTCCATGCCAGAGAGTGACAAACTCTTAACAGCCAATCTGTTTATAGATACAGAATAAAATGAGTCAGAGAAACTTGGACTGGCTAGATAAGTTACAGTAATTACTGTATCTAAGTGAATTCCTCACCCCCTGATCACCATGTAACACAAAGATGACTGCATGCTGTGATATGGGTCAAACCCAGCTGTCAATGGCACTCAGCAGGTCCCATGTGCAAAGCCACACAGCATGAGCATTACTTTCACAAATCACAGGAAAATACATCTTAAGAATCAGAATATAAACCTTCTGCTTATCAGGGATAAGAGTAGTTGATGAGAAGGGAGTGGAAATGCAGGTACCTGACCCCCAGCACAATGTCCGCTGGACATTCTTCTAGACTTTGTATGAGATAGTACAGGACCAGGCCAAATGATTCATCAAAATGGTTTCTATGCAGCAAAGAAGTAAAACAACTGCTGTGAGACTAAATCAGTGCGTAACAGACACATCTGTTCGCCCAAAGCTGCAAGTATTAACAGTTATGAGGCCCTAGGAAAATATCATGAGAAATTCATGAAATTTTAAAGTTGGCCACCAAGTTAATTCCTTCTCAGGCAATACAGAGTAAAGTCATAGCACAGTGTATCAAAGGTGTATGTAACAGGAAGGAGGAGTAAAAGAACCAAATTCTATGAAGGAAGTGTCCAAAGATTTTAGATGGAGAAAAGATGACCATGGATTCTGTACAGCAGAATGGCAAGAACAAACCAGTTCAGGAAGGACCAAAAACAAAACAAAACAAAAAAACCAGAAAGGCTAATAAAAGATATTTCTACTGGAGTAGAAAAAAAAATCTGAGAGTCAGACTGGTACCTACATCACCATTCATTTAAAGCAGGAGAACTTGTGGGGGGATGTTAGGAAAAAAGGATACTTTTAGTTAAACTAGGAAAAAACAAAACAAAACAGGCCAGAAGATCCTTAATACTGCAAAGTATGAAAATGTAGGACCAAGAGCTACTTTAATACCAGAGTACACTGGACTAAGCATCAAGACTCAGTATTACTGTGGCCTGGAAATGTCCTGGCCCAGACTGCATGCATTCAGGCCAGAAAGGTGAGCCTCAGAACAGTGGTCTCCTGGTTGGAAATGGTTCATCCACGGGTCTGCTATGAATCACACTCCACAAATTAAACACTTAAGGGAAGCAGTTCACATAGCTGAATGGTTTGAGGGAATTAAAGACCATGAAAGAACAATGGATCAAAAACAACTCAAGATAAAACGATTAGGAATGTTCTAGAAACTGGTAACCTAAACTAGAAGGAAAGTATTGAGGAGGAATGGAGGATGGGTAATGAGACTTTTAAAAACTTATTCATGTTTGGAATGCTTTAAAATGCTAAATTAACACGAAGCAGGAAAGTAACATTTTCTTGTCTTCTTAAATATGGTATGCAGCCGATACTTCACTATAAATAGAAAAAACCACCCTCAGAAAAGCTGGCAAATTCAAGACGAAAAAGAGCTATTTTAGGCTCCCTTTCTTCTTTCAGTCTGCAATATCAGGGTGAAGTATTTATACAAGGAAACAGATTTCTGTCTTAAAAATCATAAATATTTTAACCTGGTAGAAATTATTGGAACAATGGTTCAGGACAATTCCGCAAGCAAGTTAAAAGCAAAAAGACAACCAGTCCCTTAATGGGACTTCAAAGTCTGCCTTCCATCTATTCTGTGGTCTTCAGTAATCTAAACACACAATGAATGGAAGGAACAGTCAGTCACCCTTTAGCACCGGATCTCCTCTTTCCTCCTCCTCCTCCTCCTGTGCATTTTCTAACCTAGAAATGCCATTCACCAATAGTCAACTCCTGTTGGGAGCAAAGCTCTTTATAGGAAATGTTCCCAATTAGCTAAAAACAATAGAGCCATTCATGGCTTAAGAGAGCAGGGGAAGGGGGCTGTCCTGCAAACCTTGGCTTTGGTAGCAGCTGAAGCGAGAGCAGCTGCCGCGGCGGTGGCAACATTTCCTTCAGAAATCTCATGTTCTACTTTCTTCTTCGTGGTGTCATTTTCTCTTTCCTTACATGCATCAGTGAGTTCCTTGTTCTCTTCAGTCTCCTTTTCTTCTGGAAATACAGAAAGCTTTATTATTAGTGTCCCTGGTCTCAGTAACTATCTCCCCTCGCACCTCTGCCATATGATAAATGAGGACTGATCTTACAGGGAGATTTCAGCCCCTACTCCTTTTATGAGTGTTGCTGAATTGTTCCATGCATGTAAGTCTGCCTCTATATGGGCTTTATTTTGTTCAATGATAGCCTTTGTCTCCCCTTTATTTCTCTAGGCTCTGTGTGTATTTCCCTGAGATATAAAAAGATAAATTCAGAGAATAGAGCCTAAGACACACATATTTGTTCCTTAGTCAGTGGGATGCTCTGGGAATCCTAGAGTCTAGAGGAATTCAAGACACCAAGAACAAAGTATCCCGAGACAGGCTCAGTGGCAACGATTCACTGACACTGACACTAAAAGGGCAGGTTGGGGCAGGGAGACTTCATGGCGGAGAAGGCCCGTTCATCTCCACATACTACTGAATACAGAGACACAGCACAGACCCCAGAATCAGCACTGGTATCTAGCTGTTAAGTGAGGATGAAATATTTCTACAAACAAAATAAAATAAATGGGATGGGGGGTGTAGCTCAGTGCTCCTTGGGCTCAAACCCAGTACCAGAAAATCAAACATCCCTAGTCCATTTTTACAGTATCACATAAAAATTAAATTTAAAGCAGTTCATCCAAGTTACCTAATTTGATATCTTCACTAACTTCACTGTCCTGTTCCTTCTCGCTATTTTTTTCATTTTCTCCATCTTGTGCTTTATCACATTCATCCATTTCGTTTTCTCCTTTGTTGTCCGCCTAAACAGGGTTGAAAAAAAAAAAGGAAGTGAACAAAAACGTCATTTCAGGGGCTGGGGATTCAGCTCAGCGGTTCCTGAGCCTGCCTTACAAGCGCGAAAGGACTTGAGTTCAATCCCTGGTACAAAAAAAAAGTTATTTTAGGAGCTCAATTATCTTGTGATAACAGAAAGTTTCACTATGTTTTTTTTTTTTTTTTTTTTTTTTTTTTTTGGTACTGGGGATCAAGCTCAGGACCCTTGCACTTTTGGGGCAGTCTGTGGAAACACTGAGCTTAATCCCTCTGGCCCATGGTTTCACTATTTTTAACAAGAAGTGAAATAGCTGGGAGTGGTGGCACAAGCCAGTAGTCCTAGCACTCTGGGAGGCTGAGGCAGGAAGACTGAAAAATTCAAGCCCAGGCTGGGCAATTCAGTGACTTAGGAAACCATGGGGATGTAGCTCAATAGGTAGCTAAGTTCAAAGGCTCTGGTTCAATCCCCAGTTCCAAAAAAACAAAAAATCATCCTTCCACCCCCCAAATGGACTACAATGCCGGGAGTGTCAGTGCATGTCTATAATCCCACCACTTGGGAGGCCGAGACAGGAGGATCAGTGAACTCAAGGCCAACATGGGGAACATAGTGAGTTGAAGGCCAGTCTGAACTGCAAAGAGATCTTTTCTAAAATAGAAAGAAAGAAAGAAATATAGATAGATAGTTAGATAGCTAGATAGATAGATCAGTCTTAGAAAGGCTCTGTGGAGAACTGACAGAGAAATATTTTTTGGCCATCGCAACACTCGAATGTTCACAAGATCATATACCTCCAGAGCACATGGTTCCTGCTCAATCCAGGACCACTGGGTTAGGACAGCCAAGAAATGTCACGGAATTAGGCAGTACCATCTGGTACCATTTGCTGGTTTTTTGGGGGGGTACTAGAGATCGAACTTGGGACTTTGCTCTTGCAAGGCAAGTGGTGGCACCACTCAGCTAAATCCCCGGCCCTGCTGGTTTGAAAAATGCCTATAACCCGGGACAGTGGTTCCACAGCCTGCCTTGCAAGTATAAGTTTGATCCCCAGTACCAAAAAAAAAAAAAAGTAAATGAAATCATAAATGTAAAACTGAAGTATGGTATTTGGACACTGAAGAAACTGTAATCATTTTATTATTTCCCTCCTTCATCTTCTCTTCATATAATCAAGACTGTAAATGTCTGTTGGCATGTACTCACTCAAATCGTGACTGACTACTCATCACAGGCTGTGACCTTGAGGTCTCGAAGAGGTGCACGCGCTACCCTGCCTGGCCTACCTTATGTTTATGCCTTGTGTGAGCAGGGACTGGGCCAGGGACACACTGGTACTCTGAGGAGGATCCCGGCTTTAAGGTCTCCTCCCTCTGCAGATGAAATCTTGGATTCCTTAGCCTCTATTTCAGTCGTTTAACAGTTCTACCTGTTCTTTAAAACCTACTACAAATAGTGGCTTTTCATTAATTCTAGTCTAAATATTCCGCTCCTGATAGTTAACCCTTCTAAGGCAATCACTTAATAGTCTGTAATAATAAACAAGTAAGTACAAGATCTCAACCCTACAAGTCGATGTTCACAATAACCACGGCTTTTGTATTCACGTTCCCAACTGTGCTTGAAAGAGGTACAGAAGATAGGGTGGAATAAATCTTCAGCAAATAAATAAAAGGAAAATGTTCTGTGTCACGCTTTGTGAGAACTATGTCTTAAGCAACAAAAGCCGAGAGGCTGATAAAACTATTTACAGTCCCCTTTGTGCCACACATGTCCATTACACTCAGGAGACACACATGCCCTCCTGCTGTGAGGCAACTCAAATGGACTTTACCTTTTCAGGCTGCTGACCATCAGCGTCTGTTTCCATTTTTTCCTCTTCAGCTCCTTCTATAAGTAAAAGAGGAAGAACAATATTGGAAATGGTGAAAACTATGATAACACGTGGTAAGAGCATCTGAAGCACAATTATACACAGCATAACCGAGAACCTCAATAGTCACAGGGTGGGCAAAAAGAAGTCAGAAATCAGGGTTGGGGATATAGCTCAGCGGTACAGCACCTGCCTGGCAAACACAAGGCCCTGAGTTTGATTCCTGTAACCCCGCACAAAAAAAGAAGTCAGACACAAAAAGAATGCATATTTCATGCTAAAGTAGAAAAGAGGTGAAAGTCATCAACAGTGTTACAAATCAGGACAGCGGCTAACCCGAAGGAAAAGGCATGGTATACAGAAGGCAGGTTCAGTGTGGGGCAGCTTGGAGCGCTGCTAACGGTTCTGGATCAGATGGCTATTTACACAGAACTGTTTAACTTGTGGAAATGCACTAGGCTGTTCATGTAGGATATTCACTTTTGTGTCTACTGAAGTATGCTGGACACATGTATGTAGTCCTAGCACTTGAAAGGCTGAGGCAAGAGGATCGTCACAAGTTTGGGGACTGAGACTCTGTCTCAAAAAACAAAATACAGCTGGGCATGGTGGCACACGCCTGTAATCCCAGCACTCAGGAGGCTGAGGCACAAGGATCCCTGAGTTTGAGACCAGCCTGGGCTACATAGTGAAACCCTGTCAAAATAAATAAATAAATTAATTAATTAATTCGTTAATTAAAATAAAATACAAGTTAAAAAGAATCTTAGGGCCAGAGATGTAGCTCAGTGGTGCTGCATCTGCCTGGCAACTGCAAGGTCCTGATTTTGATCCCTGATAACGAAGGCTGGGGTGTGGGGAGCTTTTAAGAAGAAAACAAATCTGATATTATCTAACAGCCATTTAATGAGTGCCTATTTTGAATCACGTACTGGAGAAACACTGTTGAGCCTGATATCACTGAAATGCAAAAGCAGCAGAGTGGCAGAAAAGCAGACATGGCGCAGCGGTGAGCAAGCAGGGCCATGAGCATCCTGCAGAAGGACAGGCAGACTGCACGGAAGCTCGTGTTCACGCTGTGGAGTGGGGCGGGGCATGGGAGCAAACACCGAAGGGCTCCTGAGCACAAGGGTGCAGGGGAAACAAGCCAACAGGTGAGCAAAAAGAGAAAGTGAGAGGGGGCGTGTAGAGCCTGGATAGTAAGATGTGAACATACGAAGATGATTCTAGCATAAAGAACCCAAGGCCCACCACCTGAATAGTAACTGCAAGCTCACATGGAATATTTATCTATTTATTTGTACCCAGGACTGAACTTGGGACCTTGCACTTGCAAGGCAGGCAGTGGAGCCACTGAGCTAAATCCCCAGCCCCCACATGGAATATTTAAAAAAATACCAATCACAAGAATGTAGCTCAGCGATACCGCTCCTGCCTTGCAAGCACAAGGTCCTGAGTTTGATCTCCAGTTAAAAAAAAAAAAAAAAAACACAAATTAGGCCAGGTATAAAAAAAAAAAAAAAAAAAAAAAAAAAAAAAAAAAAACAAAAACTGCATAAAGATCAACCCCACTACAATGAAATTAGATATTTAAATGTAAACTTCTCTGAGCCAAGAAACTTAATTGTGGGGAACAACAGTGAAATTAGTACTTAAGGGCCAGGGATTTGCCTCAGTGGTTCTGCTGCCTGCCTCACAAGTGCAAGGGCCAGAGTTCGATCACCGGTACCAAAAAAGAAAGAAAGAAAAAGAAGTAATTAGTAAAGCGAATTTGTAAAACCACAGGGTCACATTAGAAAAGAAAAGATTAAAGTTATGAGCTACAGTAAGAAGGTAAAGTAACAACATACAAGGTGGAGAGAACAAAAAAGGATAGAAAACTAAGAAATGAAATAGATCCAGAGAAATAAATAGAACATCAATATATCTAAAAGATGGCTCTTTTCAAACAAATAATAAAACTGACGAAAGAGAAGAGAGGTGGTAAACATGAACCAGGTGAGGAAAGAAGGAAAAGTACACACGAGACTGTACATGGACATGGAGGTAGAACACACAGGCAATGGCCCACACTGTCTACCCAGCAGATCGGACGATGAGATTACAACCACACTACAAAACATTTCATAGGAGTAAAAATACACAGTTTCATGGATAAACCTTGAAAGCATACTAGTGAGCAGAAAACAAGCAAGCCTCAAAAGTTTAAAAATAACTCTAAAAATGAGCAAAACTACACTGTTTCAGTACACCTATGTTTGTATTAAAAAACACTTAAATATTTAGTATGATATTAAGCGGAGCATGGTGGTTGCACGTCAGTAATCCCACCACTCAGGAGGCTGAGGCAGGAGTATCACCGAGAAGTCAAAGCCAGCATGAACTACATGAGACCCTGTCTCAAACATATGAAGCAAACAAAGAATGATATTCAAAATTTATAATTCTTCTGGGAGTAGATAAGGGAGGAAAGAAATTGAAGTGACTGACCACGTTCTCGTTCTTAGCTCAGATGAACTACATGGACTACATATCTTGGCCTAGATACCAGTCCTTTAAGGATGGAAAGTTAGATGGGAGGAGAACCAAATGCTTGCATGATACACGGCTTTAATGAAAGAGTGTTATAAATAGATGACGATGCTCCTGAGAAGGAACAGAAACTTTAACAGGCACTGTCTCTTTTCCGTACCTCAGCTGGAGACTGCCAGCACGTGGCTTTCTTTCTTTTTCCTTTTTTTGCTTCCTGGTACCGGGTGTTGAACTCAGGACCTTGTGCATGCAAGGCAGGCGCAGTGCCACTGAGCTAAATCCCAGCCAGCACTTGCTTTCTGAAACAAACAGAAGCACACCTCTTCTACTCTGCTCATGTCCACATGTCTGTAAGGTAGAAGCACCTCAGAACTGCTCTGCACTCCTCTCCAGAGCTGACTTTTCTTCATTCCAGAATATGCCACCCACACATACTATTTTCCTTATTTCATTCCTGCTGCAAAGGACACCTCCTTTGCAGTCTTCCCCAACTTACTCAGGAGCAATTATAATTGTTTCCTGTGCGTGCTTCTACTTATAGCTGTATTTATTTACTTATCTTTCCCCAAACTGAATATTCTTCAAGGGTAGAGTTTGTACTGCAGAGACTCTAAGAGTGGCTGGGGTTATTCACAGGGACCCCAGAATACAACCAAATTTGTTGTTGTTTTTTTGAGACAGGGTCTCACCGTGTATTGAGATTGACCTGGAACTCACTATGTAGCCCAGGATGGCCTCAAACTCACAGCGATCCTCCTGCCTCTGCCTCTGCCTCCCGAGTGCTGGGATTATGGGCGTGCACCACCACACCTGGATAAAACCAAATTTTTATACTCAAAATACGGTGTAATTTGTCTTTTTGCTCTGTCTCTCAAGTGTGGAGTCTGGCTTTTCAGAGGACACGCGATGTACAATGAAGCTTCTGACCGGACACCTAAAGGAATGTGCTCTTGGGAATATTTTTAACAAGTTTTCATTGCTAAAACAGGACTTGCCAGTAGATGTGACTGACACAAACTGAAGCGTTTTGGGCTCCTCCCTATTTTCTAAGAGTACAAAGAATTGAGACCAAAGGTTTGCAAACTGCTGTTAGACTCAGTTCTGTCTTGTGAAGAAGAATGAGGTGCCTGACAGGAACTCTGACAACGATGGTTACCTGCACCGAAGCTGAGTGTGGCACGAAGCCAGCAAGTCCCAGCCCTCCTTGTGCTCCATGCCCTGGCCCTCGCCCAGCCCTGTGCCCACTCTTTCCCCTGTACTGCGGCCAACTGCTGCAGCTCCTCACCTGTGAATAACCTTCCCTTTCTGTTTCCCCACCTTTGTTCAGTGTCCTACAGCATGGAATACTTGCTTCCATTTGCTCATTAACATTCTCAACTTCCTTTCCAACATGCAGCTTACATCCCACTTGCTTTGTGAAGGCTTCCTTAGGCTGAAATTACAGGTACTATGTACATTACAGCGATTCCTACGCATAGTGCTCCTTGGCAGATTAATACTACACTTCATTATATCCCTCTAATGTTGGAATGATTTTAATATGAGTTGGCATTAAAAGTCTCATATACTTACTAGAGGTTAACGATCTTAAACGACATGTGCATCATTCACACACAGCAAGAGGTATACATCAAGTAAACAAGGTGCCTAACTTGCTAAAACAGCCCCCACTAGGTAGACAACTACATATTATATGCAATGTAATTAAGAACAGAGTAAAAAGTATTGTGGGGAGGCTGTGATACTGGTGATGGAACCCAAGGACTGTGCATTGAACTATATCCCAAGCTCATTTTAAATACTGAGGAAAGGTTTTACCAAGTGGCTAAGTTGTCCAGATTGGGTTTGAACTTGTGATCCTCCTGCCTCAGCCTCCCAATACAGGCATGCACCAACAATTTGCCTGCTATGGCAAATGTTTAAATAAAACAATAATATTACACAGTGAAATACACATTGCCATTAAATCCCCTCTAATCCCTCCCCTACTTTATACACAGTTTTTCCATCATTCTTGCTATTTTCTAAAGCAGATCTATAAATACTCTTTTGTGAGTGTCTTCAGATAAGCTGTGGCTGCCTTGATGTCCTGAATCCACTCAAACTGTTTATTCTTCATGAGCACTCTGACTTGGGAGAGTCAGAAGTCACACAGTGCCACATCAGGTGAACAAGGTGGATGAGGATGCACTATCGTGCCCCACGGGCCTGCCCTTCCAATGGATGGTAGTTGGCAGAAGCGTCTACTGTGGCTTCGATCACACCTTGTAAAGACATTCAGGAAAAAGGACCCCAGAACTGCTTAAGAAATTTGCAGAAATGATGTTGTGTTCAAATGTTGTGTTCAAAGCAAGAGGGAGTATTTTGCAGTAGATTAATGGCAGTATGTCTTCTATTATAATAATTTAAAAAAGTAAAATACACTTTTTTTCCAGGGACGGGGTGGTTCACACAGGGTCTTGCTACGCAGTTCAGGCTGCCTTGA